TGGTGCTGCGACTACTACTACTACTACTACTACTACTACTGCTACTGCTACTGCTACTGCTACTACTACTGCTACTGCTACTGCTACTAGTACTACTACTACTACTACTACTACTACTACTCGTCGTCTATAAACAAGGTGAAGTGGTGGCAGAGGGTTTTGCGTCTCTGGGTGTGACGGGTGAGCTGTCACAAGGATTCCGTGACACCACAGGGCCGACCAACTGCGAAACCATAAACGAACAAACCAAAGCAATGCATGTTGCAACGACTATTGGTGGTCTATGGCATCAATGTAGATTTCACCGTTGTTTTTGCAGTTAGGGTGGGGCTTCGGGGCATGCACGCATTGCTGGAACACAGGCTTAGTGATTCGTGTTAAGGTTGCTCAAAGAACGTCATATCTCGTTTTTCAACAGTTTTGTTGTGTGGTGCGGGAAGTTGTAGAACAGCGGCCCTTACCATGCGTTCCAAAGAGTCCCATATGTTCTGTACCATTGCTTCAGGTGCTGATCCCACAGATTCCCAGATTGCTGGGGCCCGGCCTGAACAAGGACTGGATGGTTGCGCGTTGACCGGGGCCATCGTGAAGTTCTTGATAGTTGTGCGTCTGATGACTGAGAAGCGCATCCACCCCTGAATATAGCACAATATAGTATGATATATTTCAATACAATATAATGTAATTAATATAATATATTTTTAATATAGCATAATATGATGTCATATCATATCATACGACATAATATAGTATAATATGATATATTATAGAATATTATATTATATTATATCATATTATAGTATAGTATAGTAACGTAGTAAAGTATTATATATATATATATGATGTTTTCGGCTTGAGCGCTCCTGGCCTGCAGGCCGGAAAGTTCCCCACTCTCGTGCAGCACTCTGACAATCTGGAGACCAAAGTCACCGAAGTGCGAAGCCAGGCGACTGGAGACACCCCGTGCTTTATCTTGCTACAAAGAGCACAGCATTAGCAGGTGAAGTTTCAGCTCAAGAAGGTGCTTTGCATGGGCGTCGCAGTCGGCAACGTCGCCATGACCCCGGATGAGCTGAGGCACCCCGAGGGCGCATGGTACGAGTGCTGACCATTGTGCAAAACACAACGGCTCCCGACGATAGCTGTTTTGCCTGAAGCACAGGCAGAACTGTCTGATGGCCATCAACTTCCTGGTGTCGCTGCTGAAGAAGAACTGGAACAATGCAGCTTGGCCTATCTCCTCGGTCGCTGTTGCTTCAGCAAGGGAAGAGAAGGCACATAATCAGATCCAAGCAGATCTACCAACAACTGAACTTTCCCAGCGCTGGGCTTGTCCCCTGCATGCAACGATCGGAGGACAACTGCACAATAGCTTGCACTTGTCATGTTCTACCGTGCATCCCTTGAATTTGTGTGGTATTTGTACGAGCTGGATTCGATCTCAGTTTTCGGAACCGCACTCACTTCAAACGTGGGAACAATCGCTCTCCTTTCCGCGAAATCCTGAAATGAGTCGGGCCTGGAAGAGTAGTTTAAGCTACGTGTTTACGAGGGTCGGCTTGGCTCATGGAGGTTGTGGCAAGAACAGCGCTGTGTCCGTTGTGGCAGGTGAAGAGATTGCACATCAAGAGCACCATGGGCAAGCCTTTCACGATTTACGGATGAGATGCTGAGACGGCTGCCCCGGGACAGAGAGTGGCTGCCCAAAAGACTTTCTGTGTGGGCGTCGCGGTCCGTGCTTCGTGGGCTCGAGTCTTGTTAAGTGCCTAGTGAACTCATGAACTCATATTTCCTAGTTAGGTCGTCTTCAGATTGGAAGCATTTCGTCTCGCTACAGGGCTCACTACAAAAATAAACTGCTAGCCGTCAGCAGCACACCGTGATACCCGTTTTTGCTACGCAAGAGCACCCCAGCATTCCACGAATGACCCGCATTGCAGAGGCGTAGCAATGTGCGAGCTCGTGGTAGAGTCTATGCCGCCATGTTCGATATCTTCGTCAATGCTTCCGCTCAACCGCTGCACCCAAGCTAGCAAGTGGTCCAAAGTGATCACATTCAAGAACTGCCAGCTCATTTTCCATTCGAGCCCACGGGCATGGATGTCTTTACTGAACCACATTGGCTGTCCTGGTCAATTGTGTATTCTACAGATGCTTCTTTGTTCTCCTAGAATTAGAAGCAATCCCACTGCAAGCGGCACGTGATGCAGAAGCCAAGCCCAACAAAAAAAGGCGTCTGAACTAGGACAAGGTCCTTCATGCCCATCCATGAAAGGCCATGTCAAAGCATGCCCATGTCGCCACTGAAGCGCCGCTCGGTTATACTAACTGACTTTCGAGGGGCCATGGCCTTCTCCCGCTTTGTCCTTCCAACCTCTGAGGCAAGTCAGTTCCGGTGACTTGGAGCAGCCGCCGGGACGAATTTTGATCATATGCAAGTGTGCAGCGCTCCACAGCCACCGAGGTTCTTCCAGTTCTTGCAATGCCAGCTTCGAATGGAAGCTGGCCGCTGCATGGGAGCGACATTGGAGCTGCAGGATCAGCAGGCCGACTCTCACGTTCTCCTGGGGTGCACTGCTTCTTGCCCAAGTCCGCGAAGGCTAGAGCGATCTGGCCGTATTTTGAGGAATGGGTGCAGCCCAACCTTGGCAAGAAGGACTTGACAGTTGAAAACCGAATCAAGGAACCGTGGTCTTGCCTTGAGACAGGAGAAATGGATGCCCTTCCATACAGCCTCTTGGCCTGCGTTGACTGTGCCACGTGATGACCGGTACATCGGGAGCAAACTTTTGCATACAGGTCTTGGGCGCCCATGAACTCTTCATCGTGGAGAACATCCACCACAATCCTGAGCTGCAGTGGGATGAGAAGTGTGACTTGGACCTGGCGAGTCTGCAGCGCAAAGACGAGCTAGCTCACGCTCACCCGCTTGTCAAGGCCGATTCTTGGCGATGTTCGTGCCTTGCCCTTGGACAGCTCGAAGCTCCGGTGACAAGCTTGAACACACCCTGTACCGAGGTTCAGGGCACACTGCCGCGGCACCATCTTCCGAGTAGCTTGGACGAATCCCAACAAACTCGTCGGGTTTGGGCATTTGATGGCTTTGATTTGCAACCTGGCCACCCAGGAGGCTCAGCTTCCTCATATGCGACGCGACGAATTCTGGAGGACTCGGCGCTTGCGATAAGAATCTCAAATCTACAGCCCCCTTTTCGCTTCAAGTATTCAAGGAAGTGTGAAAAGTGTGCTGCCTGGTGCAGAGATCGCAGGAATCCCATCTCCTACTTCAAGGAGAGCGGAAAGATCACCCGCAGCATGCTGGCGCAGCTGGGACGGATACGATACGTACTGCAGTCCTTTTGCGATTTTCCCTGACCTGGCGCTTTTTTCAGTCTTCCTGCAGGTATCGCAAGAAGACGGGACATGCTTTGCAGACCTCGGCCTTCCTTGCCATCCCGAAGCGGCTCTGCCAGGCTCACCATCCATCCAGCACTGCTCGAATGCTTTGACCTGGGAGCAAGGACGACGACGAGAATTTGGTCCAAAATGTGGCCCAGAGGACTCGAACACTGCTGGAGGCAGCTAGGGTCGCTCTGTGACAATCACATCTTCCGTCATCGTCCTGTCAGGTTGCAGAACAACTGTGGCCAATCCTGCACAATGACAGTCTGGCAAGCATGGAGAAGTTCGAGGCCAGGGTCGTTCCGGCACCTCCCTGTCCGTCTGCTGCTCTCCAGCCCTGGGCATTCAGGAAATTTCGCGGACGATCCAATCAGGATATTGTCTTGGCGAGACATGGGCAAAGATGCTCATGGTGAGATCTGGCATGTGTTGCATGCTGCATCACCTATGGGTTGGCATCACTGCATGCTGCTTGGCGTGTGAGAGTGCACCAGATTTGATTGGACGACGCTTCTCATTCGGCAGGTGAGCATTGACATTGCTTACCCGAACGAGCAATTGCTGGCAAATAGCTGTGATGCGCAAAGCTTACTTGTCTTGCACGTGATGGCAGAGCCTCAAACTGCTTGGATCTTGGAACATCCTGAACCTGAAGCTTTGGGTGCAGGTTGGCGTCGGAGCCCTGAAGGCACTCCAACGACTCTTCAATGGTAGTTGTCATGCCCTCAAGTGCCCTCAACAGGTTACCGCATGTTGCCGCCCAAGTGTCCCCAACCCTGACCCGTCTACTGCTGAGCCTTTCGAGGTCCTTTAGACATGCGGGAGGCCCTGCGAAGGGCGACCAAAGCGGCCAACGAGTCGCAGCGCCGGGCGGCTCGAGGCTTTTGGAGCCTCCTCAGCCAGGCGGTGCTCGGTGAGGTTGTTGGGGGCGCTCCAGACGGCGAGCATAGTGAGGGTGAGGGGTTGATGGCCAGTGCATCAAGCGCTTCCATGCTCTGCAGTTGTCTTGGTAGTGGTTTCGTCGATTGCTATGCCAGGTGGAGGCTATGGCGAAGAATCGCTTCGCAAAGCTACCGTTAGTTCTGCAGCAGGTGGAACAGCTGGACGATGTACACACATGCATGCACTGCTGCTTGCACATGGGCAGGTGTCCACGGGCGTCGGTCAGCTCAGCCCAGTCACAATGCAGGCAGTGGAGCACATTGTTGTTTTGCCGTTTCTTGCTGTGGAGAGCCAGCCGTTTCTTAGTGGAGAGCCAGGTACAGCTATGTGAATGGCGCCAGTTCATGGATCACCTCGCGAAGGCCAGAGCATTGCAGCATCAAGATCACAGCAGTTCGCAGAGCCTCCCGACTGCGCTCCACAGGCTGGAGCTTCTGTGCTCACAAGCAACGGCTGCTTCATTGACGTAGCTGCCTCAGCCTCCTCACCTCCTTAGTGGTTCCGGGTTGCAAGCATCCAGAATGGCCCGTCGCCCCGCGGTTCTGATTGTTCTAGTGATTCGAGTTTTTTCAAGCGAAACTTTTTACTCATGCACACGCGAGCTGCACAGTGCTGCAAGAATGGAAGCAACGCAGGCTGGTATACCCGGTCATCCCCTGACTGTGTCCACTGTACCAGTACCTTCAAGGTTTAGCCCGCAGCTTTGTAAGGATGATGATGGCGAAGAGGTACCAGCCGAGGGACCTGTGCAGAAGGCGAGGGTCCTCTTTGTCTAGGTCGGCGAAGCATCTATAAACCATAAACCTGCCCCTCCTCTTGAAGTCGCTTCTGATTCCTAGAATCCGTGCTCCAGCTCTGTGTTGACTCGCTGCAGTATCGCCGGGTCACTGGCAAGCAGCAACAAGGCCGAGGGAGAGGATGAATCCTTGAGACGCACACTTCATTTTCATGCAGGCATGGTCTCGCAAGCAGATGCTGAGTTGCGCGATGCGAGCCAGCGCTGCCACAATCCGCCTCGCATTGAGGCTCGGCCGCTCGTCGTGCAATGCCACTGTCACGATTGTACGACTCACTGCATGACTACGTCGTGCTAGGTTCATCCAGATTCGCAGTTTCGTTTTTGCTTTGCCTTGACGGTCTCTTCATACGATATACAAGAGGGCCAAGAGCACTCCAGAGGGAGCTCCTAATTGTGATGGCACGGCAGTCTCTTTACGAAACGACAGATTAGTCCTCAGTTTACTTCTCACTGCCACAGGCTTTGAGCGACTCGGAAGACGACAGGCCAATCCTCTCCCTTGCCGAGGCCTGCGTTTGCCGGTCCAGCCAGAGTCACTGAACTGAACTCAGATAGCTTAAAACCGGATGATAGATTGTATCCGCAATACGCGCGAGCCTGAGACTTCTTCATGCACGAGGCGGAGGTTTCAAGGACACGCTGTTAGTGCGGCCCACTGCCTTCCACAGCCTTAGAACGTGAAGGGCACGGGACCCACGTACTGACCTGCCTTTTGCTGGAGGCATCCAAGCCAGCCGCAAAAGTCAAAACCGCTTGTCCAAGCAATCGAGCGGAGGCTTGAGTGCACATCGTGTACCTGTCGGACAGCATACTCATGCCTTCACTGTGCAGGAACCCCAGCTCCCGGCGCTTGGAAAACACGAGGTTGGCAGAAGTTGTTGCCAGTTTCGAATTTGGCAAGCTGCAGCTGCTACGAGTGCCATGGGAGATACCAACCCGCATGGGGGAAAAAAGCATTCAGCGCGTCGCTGGCTGCCGCTGGCTAGCATTGCTGAGCTATTGGCAGGCTGCATACCTTCAGCAGGAGCAAGCCGTGCTGAGGAAAGAAACCGCCCGGGGTCCTGGGACTGTCATGTAGCCGCTCAAGATGCTTGCAGAGAGATGCGGTTGCCTTTGTTCTCGCTGCCAAGGTGAAGAAGCATGGGGCCGCAAAGCTGCTAAAGGCGACTGCGATCGTGCTGCACAGTCCCCCTTCTGCCTGCCTGCCTGTCTGTCTGGCATGCACACTGCAAAAGCACGCTGCTCCGCCGCTCCAGTATCATGCGGCACCGACGTTTTGAGAAGCATGCAGCATCACGTCCATCTCCCTCGAGCAATCACAAGCTTGCAGTTTGCAGCAAGCTGGCAGCCAAAAACTTCGCCCGTGCTTGAGAAGTCGAAACAGCGCGATTCGGGCACTTGCCCTGTTCGAGCTCTGCACTTCAAGTACATGGTGATTCAAACGCTCCTGATTCGAGCACGCGATTCAATACAGGCCGGTCCACTGGATTTCGAGCCCCGCGCAGCACCGCTCCCGCCCCCAATTCAGGCTTGTACTGCTCATCTACTTAGTCTCTCTCCCATTCAGGTCTCTACGTTTCTACGGCACATGGACTTTAATCAAATTTCGCATCGAGAGCTAAGGGTTCTGGGCCCTCCTGTCATGTTGTTGATCTGTGTACTTTCTTACCTGGTTCCGTTTCCTTTATAAAATCGGACTCTCATACTGCAAAGACCGATGCACTCCCTGACAACACCAGATTTGTGCACTGACAACAAGCGTCGCGGATCCAGGATCGCAGGAGGGCTATCGAGCGACAAATTCACGCACGAGCACGGCAGATTTGGGCACCACCAAGGATCCGAGCTGGGCTGGAGGGATCTGGGACGTCAGCCGATGTGGTACCTGTAGACAATAGAGGACACGAAAGAAACGACACCTGCCCCCACAAAGGAAACCTAACGAGGGCTCGGGCACGAAACCCCATAAATACTGAAACGACGAGAGGGGCGAACACGAAGAGGGCAATGTAGAGTTTGCCTTGACACGTGGACACTGTGGTGCAGCGAAGCATGGAGAAGGATGGCGCCCCACGTGGATTCTATTGCTGCTCGTAAACAGTTGTCTGAAGCACTGGGCCTTTGTGAAACGAACAATAATCGTGAAAACTCAGGGTCTCAACCATCCATTCCCTGAGACATGGTGTCTTGGATGTTTGGCACCAGCTGCATGCACTGCTAATCAATTTCTCGATTGCCACGTGGCTTAAACTCGACGGAAGCGGCCAAGCTGTCCTTCACGTTCTTCGGGTTGCACAAGGCTAGTTTCGTTACACGACCGGTCATCCTTCGAGTCTCCGCCACGTTGGCCACGTGTCGATGCCAAGTCCTGCATGCACATGACCTGACCGTGCAAAAGGCCGCCCGGGAAGAGTTGGACTCCGCGAATGCAGCGTACCAATCGTTGAAGGTCCAGGCACAGAATGAGCCATCTGGAAGCGCCTGCTTTGCGGACGTCATGAGTTCCAGGTCAGGGAAGCCATGTGCCGAAGGGACACCTGTCAGGAGGCTGCTCCGACCGAGTTTGACAGATTGGAGGGGCGATGCGTTGTCACACGCCTAGCGGGGTTTGAGGAAGTCACATCGAGGGTAAAGGAAGGAACGGGACAACGTTGAGTCTGCGTAGCACATTTACGACGCAGATTCCTGATTGTTAATGGGTTGTGTTGGGATATGCAGGGTGAGCTTGCAGGGGTTCGAAATCGTGAGGGGAGCTGCCAAAGTGTAAGATTTGTATTGCAGAAAGTCAGCAGAGCTTCTGCGCTACTGCGGTGCCAGGCCCTCAACCAAGCAGAGCCTCTTGGCTGTACCGCATAGTCGAGGTTGAAACTTAGCAGTTTTGGCAAGTGGACCCAGCGTCGAAGGCTGCCTAGCCTGAGCTCATGTGCTACTCGCAGCATCTTCCGATTGGATGTGCGCAAGGCTGGACGTCATGGAGCAAAGCGAGCTCATGCAGCAATCGCAGTGGGATTTGGATTGCTTGAAGGAGATCCCGTGAAAGTTTGTTTGTCAGGATGTCCAGCGGTGTGCATTGGCTCGAGTGTTGGCGATTCCTGACTGGTAGCACGTAGGACGCGAAGAATCGGTGTCTTGTCAGGAGACCCTCACCCAGCTGGACGCCAACTATGAAAGGGTCCCAGTAGATGTGGCGAAGTCTTCATGGGACTGCGATCGGGAGAATGCAAGTCCGTACTTTGTCTCACCGTAAGGCAGCACTTTCAACTGCCGAGCAGAAAGGCCACCTCCTCGATATCACACAGGCATCCGGACACAACTGATGGCAACTCTGCCTGCTGAAGCTCTGAATGCATCCAGGCATGTGGCCGCATGTTGCGATCTCAGACGCCTTTCAGGCTGCGAATTTTGCGGATGTCGGAGTCTGCTGGAATGTCCGGAATCGTGCTAGCCAATGTGACGTAGCAAACTGCAGGGCGCAGAGTCCATTGCTTGAGGCCAGCTTTGGCAGAGCGTGTTGCAATTGCTTCATCCGCAAGGAGCGTCGATTACGGTTGTTGCGCTTTGACGAGATGAAACATGATGTGTGTTGACCGGATGTTGCTGCTTCAGAGCTCTTCGGCGAGGCAGTCGACCATGCAAGACTTCTTGAACGTGCGGCCCCGAGAGTGTGCTGTCTCGCCTGGCTTCGTTGATCCGACTGTCGTTCCTCATGTCCTTTCTCAGGCTGTTCAGGACGATTGCGAGGCGCATCGGCGAGTTTACTGGAGCACAAGCTTCGCTAGATGTCAATGCCTGCGATTGGTGCAGGCTTCACACGCTAGGTATGAAGAGCTCGAAGACAAACACGCAGCAGACTCCTCAGCCTTCCAGAACCTTCAGGTGTAACACTTGTACTTGTACCGGCATGTGCTCGTGTGACTCGTGTGTCTAGTTAAAGCAAACACTATGCCTACCCACATGCCCACCAACCTACCTTCCCACCCACCCACCTACCTACATACCTACGTACGTACGTACGTACGCACGCATGAATGCATGCATGCATGCACGCATGTATGTATGTACAGAGGGAGGGAGGGAGGGAGGGAGGGAGGGAGGGAGAGGTACATGGTAAGAGGGGCTTGCCCTTCTTGCCCCTAGCCCTGGCAAAGAGGAGATACATGAATAGAAACACCTATCTCCGTCTAAATTATCGACGAGGTAGAGCGGGATTTCGGGGTCTGTCTTGTTGTGCGCAGTTTTGCTCCCAATCGCAATTTTTGGGGTGAGGGGAGTTTCCATCCGAAGGTTTGTTCACCTTGTGCGATCCGGTTCAACTCTATGCCGGTCATGTTTCTAGCCCGTGATCCGGGTGCAGGTGTGCGAACGAATGATCCATCGATTTTAGCGGGCTCGCCCACGTCCAATGTTGCTGTCGCAGCAGAAGCGTTCGTGTGCCCGGAAGCTCGACGAGAGTTCAAGTCGTCCCGTCCGAAAGGAACGGATATACTTTATTTGTCTGTGTACCCATAGAACATGTGAAAATACAATAAATACAGATAGGTTGACATGACATAAATCCATTATAGTGCACTATGACAACGCACCATAGTTCTGTATCATTTGTTATGTCGTGTAATGTGATTTAAGATGTATGATATCACGCTATGATCCAGATTGTAGTGTGGCATGATATTGACATAGCATTCGACAGTGTCGTACAATACAATGCAGTAGAACGGAACATAATATGATACCATAGAACATTGTCTGTGACAGTAAACGCTTCGCGTCATCCGCCTCGGCCTGGCTGCAGGCGCAGGGCCCAACAAGACGACAAGTGCGGCTCTGACTGCTTGGGCCACGCCCGAGGCGAATAGTATAGTCTGGCATGACATGCTGTAGTGTGCTGCAACATAACAGAATTTAGGAGAGCACAGTAACTAGTATAGTATAGTATATGTCGTATAGTATAGACTAGTACAGCATAGTACAGTACAGTATAGAATAGCAAAAGACGAGTTGGACTGCAATATGCAGTATTTCTTTGCTATGCATGCATGCATGCATGCAGGGTGGTTGGTTGGTTGGTTGGTGTGTTTGGGCATGTGTATATATTACCCTTAGTGAGCGACTTTGCTTGCAAGGGAGTGACACGCGCCTTTCTCAGCGCCTTTTCTCAAAAGAGGAGTTTTGGCTCAAGCCTTCCTGCTTGAGCCATGCCGGAGCCGTGGATTTCTTCGACCACGGACTCCGAGGCATGGAGCTCGTACACAATAGAGGTGGGCGACTACCTAGAGTTCCATGCCTACGATGTCTCCCGCACCAAGCTAGGAATGGTGTTGGGAAGGGAGGACAAGGTGGAGAAGAGAGGCCCCATGGAACAGTGGATCGAGATGACATTCCTGGTCGTGTCGGGGGACCACCTCCTTTGGTGGCTGAATTCGGGGCCAGAAAGGGACCAGAACTGGGAATTTGAGTTTCACTTCTGCAGGGGTGGTGAAAGATCTTGCCAGCAGGGACGCCAAAACAGGAACCTCGACCTCGTCACGGACAGGTTCAGAAACGTCCCCATGGGTCATCTTGCTGTCCCCCGTATAGATTGGTTCAAAAAGAGCCCGTGCAAAAAGTATGACGACGAGGAGGTGGCCATGATGAGTGGTGAGAGGCCTACGGGCCAGAACAACACACATCCCGACACGGCCACGGCCTAGGTTTTGAAGCGCGGGCCTCCCTGTGGCAGAGGCGGAGGATCCAGCCCTGAAGAACCTGTCCGAATTGGAGAAGGAGCTCGGTACGCCGAGGAAAGCGCGCAAAAAGTGGGTAGCTTCCGACCACCATGGTGGAGGTTCTGGATCCCTCAAGAGGGAAGACCGGAGTGACCCGAGTAAGAAGAAGAAGAAAAGAGGAAAGGCGCGCGATGACTCCGGCCACGGCCGTGCAAGGTCTGCTCCGGGCTCCGGGGAAGGACGATGGTTCGGTCAGGAGGTGGGCCATGATCCCAAGGATCCGTCCCTCACTGGCACGCCGGGAAGATCGTCCTCGAGCCCCTCCTCTAGCGACGCTAAGAAGAAGAAAAAGGAAGAAGAAAAGGAAGAAGAAGTGGAAGACCGCAAAGGACAGAGGGCCCTCTGACTCCGGGTCGTTGGTGGACTATGGCAAGGCGCTGGAATTGTCCAGTGGGTCGGTGGCCCGGATGAGTGGGGAAGGGCCTACGGGCCAGGCCTCCCCGAGGGTGATGGGGAGGACCCGGCCGTGAAGAACCTGTCCGAGCTGGAGTAGGAGCTCGGTACGCCGAGGTAAGCGCGCAAGAAACGGGAAGCAACTGACCACCACGGTGGAGGAACATGACCCCCCAAGAGGGAGGACATGAGTGACCCGAGTATGAAGAAGAAGAGAAGAAGAGCGCGCGAAGACTCTGGCCAAGGCCGTGTAAAGTCTTCTAGACTCTGGCTACGGCCGCGTAAAGTCTTCTCCTGCTCCGACGAAGGACAGTGGTTCGGTCAGGACGTGGGCCATGATCCAAAGGATCGGACCCTCACTGACATGTCGGGAAGGTCATCTTCGGCCCCCTTCTCAGGCGAGGCCAAGAAGAAGAAGAAAAAGACAAAGAACAAGAAGGGGGAGAAGCGCAAGACCTCGAAGGACGGAGGACCCTTAGCTCGCGAAGCAAAGGGGACTACGGCAAGGAGTACGCTCTGAGACTGGGAGCCTGCTACAGCGGATACAAGCCATGGTCGGAAGGGGCGGGGAGCCGATCCTCACCACAGATCCGGAGAATGGATTGTGTCGTGATGGAGCTTGGCCCAGAGCAGCTTCAAGGTCAGGACGCTCAGGGAGATGAAGACGTTGCTGGCGGCCCTCGTTCGGATCGCTGCAGGGCATCCTCATGGTGCGGCGGACACGGCCAAGGCCCTGGAACTAAGCACCACGGACGCATCGTGGAACCGCGATCAGTTCAAAGAGCTGCTGGAGCCAGAGGGCCCGAACCTTCTGGAGCGAGTCGAAGCCGTTCTCGCGTCGAAAGAATGGTTGACAGGCTTAGGCTTAGACCCTCCTACCGACGGGTAGGTAGCTGGAACCGTGCCGGCTCATGAGCCAGGTGCCCCCCATGGGGGAGGCTTATCTGATATGCCTCGCGTGGGCTTCCTAAGTTTCGAGGTCGGGCGATAGCGAGGATAAGGGTCCGGGGAAGGATGCCACTGGATATTGGAGAGGCCTTTTTGCAAGCCTCCCAATAAAATCAACAAAAGACTGGAGACATGCCATCACAAAGGGCAGGTCGAGAGGGACAAGGTTAGGTCGCTGCAAAAGTTTTCTTGGATGCCGGGAACAACCTGAAGTCGGCCCTCGGCACTTTTTTCGGGCATACAGCAACCCAGAGAAGCTGCCCCCGAGCGCCGAGCTCACCCTTCGTCCGAGGACCGACCCCAGCACTCTAAGGATCTACTGCCTATCCACCCAGCTCTGGGTCAGCCCGGGCAGGTCGGCGCTACGGAGGATCTCGCGGCGACAAGGTCATCACGGCGTGGCCGAAGCCGGGCTCTGTGGCGTGACTGCCTGCCGGCGGACCTCAAAGCTCTCGATGATTCGAGGCAATACCTCTTGCCCATCATGGGGCTGCCGGACAGTCATAGAGGCTCAAGCGTCAGGGCATCTGACCAGGGACGGCGCAGGATTGTGAAGGCCGGTTACGCTGTGTCCGACGAGGACATCCCTTGGACATGAAGCGCCACCGCATCACTCATGAAGCGGGTGCAGTCAAAAAGTTGAAGGAGATTCAAGGGAGGACTGTGCAGGACACTCTGCCCTACTTTGAGTAGATGACGGCGGTCATGGCCGGAAAGGACTGCTGCCTGGTCCTGGATTCTGAGGGCCTGCAGTCTTGAAGAGTGCCATCAACCTTTTCAAGGCTTCCCCTCTCCTGGGCGCCATCCTTTAGCCTTGCCAAGACGGTGAGGGGAGACGCACTTGGCCTGTCGTCAAAAACCATGGTGAGACCGGCTCTCCGAGTCGTGCCCATGGGCTGGGCGTCCGGTGGTATCAGGCATATCTCGGATGAGATCGCGAGAATCCCTCCCCACGGGGATGTTATCAAGGATACCCCCTCTTCCCAAGGGTTCAGACCACACGATCCTGTACTAGGATAACTTTGTTGACGTCCCTTACCTCCGCAAGGAGATCGCGGAGGAGTAGCGGGTCGACCCTCGGAGAATCACGCCAAGTGTCATGATGTGTTTAACCAGGAGCCTGGGAAAGCAACTGAGTGGTGCTTTGGGTAGAACCCTCCATGGAGGAGTATTTCTTGGCAGGGATAGCAACCTGCACCACCTTTACGAAAAGATGGTTGAGCTCCTGGAGCTCAGCCTGGGTCTGCTCTCCGAGAGGAGAGCGTCAACGAGTTCAGCCTGCGGCATTGGACGGGCAAAGCAGCCTTTGCAACTGCGTTTCGGAGACCCCCTGTACTCGGTCCTGCGGGAGGACCACGGGGCTTGGCAACGCTCCTCAGCGGAGGAGGCAAATGCGATAGCAAAAGGGCCTATCGCGCTGGCTTCCTCAAAGCGAGCCAGTCAGGGCGCTTCGCTTCCTTTGAGCACCCCTACGACCCCTTTCTCTGGGACTTGCCCGAGGCGAAGCCCCTCTATGGAGGAGAGTGGCAGTGGTCCACTTTTGCCCATTGCTGCCATGGCGGAGTCAGGGAGGAAAGGTTGACCGTGGTGCGCTACTCGAGTTCGTTGCACGCGATCCTGCACAAGCCGCGCGAAAGCGACCCAGAGATGTCCTGCCAGGAACACGGAGCCCTTCGGTGCTAAGGCTATGTCCCGGGAGACCTCATGCACCACCAGCTCAAGGGGGCCTCGCAAAAGCTT